TTTAGCAAATGGCTGCAATATAACAAAGAGTGAAAAATTTAAGGGGGTCTGAATACTTTCCGTACCCACTGTACACTCTCAGGGTCAAACATACATAAATAGCACAAAAACTGGGGTGGTACCCTTTCAAAAGGTACTAATATGTACACTTTAGGTACTAATATTAATCTTTTAAGGCTAAATAAGCCAAATCTTTAGAGTCGGCCCACTGTTATCTCCACTGTCCAGGGGCGGACTGGGACAAAAATTCAGCCCTGGCACTGTAGCCACACCGACACAGCCCCACCCACGGACACACACATTCACTACTTACATTTGTGTACAGATGGTGAAATAATATAAGCAGTACCATATATGTAACAGATATTTAAACATTTAATGTATGTGTCTGGCAAACAATGCTTACTACTTTTTAAAGAGCACACGTTTATAAAAAATGTACACATACAGTAAAAACAAAAGAAAAAGAATCTGAGGATGTTGTAGAGTCTGTGTGCTCTCTGTTTATGCCATTTGTCTGCTGTTACTGTCATTCTCTACAGTATGTTGTTCTTTGTTGTCCCTGTCTGTCTCTCTCTCTCTCTCTCTGTGTGTGTGTGTGTGTGTGTGTGTGACCAGAGGCGGACTTAACCATTAGGCAACGCTCGCGGTTATCGTCTGTAGTAGCTAATAGTATTTTGCCATTTAATATTCACATACACTAGTCCATATCGCGGTTTGATTGAAGTGTACTGAATTGCATTTGGTTTATTCATTCAATATTTGACGAATTCCGTGACATTGCTCGTTACACAGTAAACTTGTGTAGCATTTAGAATGTACAAAACTTAAGGGGTTTGTTTAATTTTCATTGGAATAAACGATAGATTCATGTTTTTGCCTTCATTTGATTACCAGAAAAATGTCAATGTCAATTTTATTTATATAGCACTATTAAACACAACCGTGGGTTGACCAATGTGCTGCACAATAAAAACATTTCAATAAGACAATACAAAATAATTACTAAAAGAAACAGTACAGTAGAAAGTTCTCATTGATAAATCGCCAAGTCAAAAAGGTAGGTTTTCAACATGGATTTAAAAACAGATAGTGAAGGTGCATTCTATGAAGTGCTGTTTTAATTAAAAAATGAAAATACACAACACAGAATTTCTAAAAAAATAAATAAAATTTAAATTTCATAGGGCCCTATTATTGTATATAAATTAATAAATTAAGTTGTTTTTATGAATTCAATTAATTAGATATGTTTTTTATCAAACCATTAAAATTGAATACAGAAAAATTTAAATGGAAAGTACAGAATTTGGGCCTTAAGAATGTAATTTTTGTTAAACTTTTAATAGGCCTAATTTGCTGTTAAATTAAACAAGTTTCATGATTTTAATTAATTAGACATGTTTTTTTGTTAAAATTTCATATAATCATCCAGAAAAATTAAAACGAAAGAAAAAAAAGCCGAATCCAGAAAAATTAACGGAAAAAAAGATTTTGGAAAAAATAAAACTTAGGCTAATTTGGGAAAAATAAAACGGATTTCATAGGGCCCTACAAATATCATGCATCTGAAGCTATAATTTTAATACTAAGCAACAGTGCATATTATATAGGGCCTATTTTAATTATTTTAAA